AATGTCTGGCTGCAGCTTCGTATCTGCCAGTGGCTGGTAGTTGGAGCTCTCATGCGCAGGTCTTATTCTTTCTCCTGCCTACTTCTTCCTTCTGTATTCTAATTGTACCCTTTTGCCTTTCTCTGTTTCTTTATGAAATCTTTGTTGTCGTCATCGTCTCTTCTTCCTCTTCTTCTTCTTCATCTTCTTCTTCTTCTATTTTGACTGTCTTAATGAAATAAACTAAGCTGAGTGGCTTATAGACAACAGAAATTTATTTCTTACAAAAATGTGCTCCTGGAGGCTGGGAAGCCCAATGTCAAGTATAAACTCTCTTGGTCTTATGGGTCCACCTCCATGACCTAATTATGTCCTAAAGGCCCCACCTCTTAATACTTTTGCACTGTGGGTCAGGGTTTCAACATATGAATTTTGGAGGAACGTAAAACATTCGGATCATAGGACTCTTCAAAATTTCAGTGTGAATTTAATCTACAACATATTTTCTCATTATACACACACACATGCACAGCTCATTATTACACTTGTCCTAAAGACAATCCTTTGAACTATGTTTCTAAATATTTATTCCACACATACTGAGCAATCATTCTTGGGACAGATATACATGAAGGGTAGAAGAAATATGAGTATCACATATCTCTGATGTAAAGGAAGGTAGAGCTCACAGTATAATCTAGTACACCAGGGCCCTGGAGAAATGGTGAAATGCCTCAAGGTTATCATCAGATTCTTACACTGTGTGAGGGAAAGGAGACATTAGCTCCATCCAGGAGACTGGAGAAAGGATTGCATAGAGTGGAACCTGGGACATCTTTGACCTTACTTTTCAAGTAAGAGCCCAGAGAAGGAGACAAGAGCTTTCGACAGGGGAAGAAGCACAGAAACAACGGAGTGGGGGCACAATTGGGCCTTAGGGAGTCATTGAGTACAGTCCCACAGGAGTGGTTATCAGGGGCTACCGGCTCATGCACCTCACAGACTCATTTCCTGCCAGCTGGCTAGGTGAGAGGTGTTCTCAGATGCTGGAGACTTGGGCATTACATTACAGTAAAAACGAGTGGCTCTCCAACTTTCAAAAGCTTCCATCCAAGGATTCCTACTGCTTGAGAGATGACTTCTTATTTTAGGAAAGAGGGAAGAGGAAGAGTTTGGAAAAGTCATCTTCATCTCAACATGGCTACCACACCTAAATATATGTGCCCTTGGGCATCCCTGCCAGGAAGCAGAAGCAGCATCTACAGCTACTACAGCCACTCTGAGGTTATCCTTGGCCAATGTAGTTGACTCTGGGCTTTGTAAGTTACACGTGGAAAATGATTTTGATTTCAGTCTTGAAAACCTATGCACCAAGACAAAGACAAGTTCTATTTTGTAGCTTGTTTTGCTTGGGTCTGTTCCCTTTCTTGCATTTTCCCTTAGCTGGTCTGAATATTAAGTGAGGGAGGCTGTGTGATTCTGCCCCAGCCAACACCCTGAAAAAATTCAAAAGGTCAGGCCAAGAGCCAAAGAGGTGGCCTCTGCAACTATCTGCAGAGAGGCCAGGCAGCTGCCCTACAGACCAGCCCCTGTTTACCTGGCTTCCTGGCCAGGGAGAGAGACGCTGCCATGGCAACTGCCAGCTGCAGTGGAGGTCACAGAGGAAGTGAAATAAAAAGCAACAACAGCAGCATGAATAAAGGCAATCAGGAGAGCAGCTGTGAAATGCACCAGAAAAATGTGGTTACCCTGAGAAGGTTGTGGAGGTGGAAGGGATTAGAAAAGGGATTATGAAGAAGGGAGAATGTTCAACTTGGAGGCAAAGACTACATTTTGGATTCAAGGGTGGAGGCAGCATATTGTCCCTAAATATCTAGCATAATGAACTCCAGGAAGTTGGTGGGTTGTTTAATAAATATTTAAATAAGATTCTAGTTTTTGCAGAAGTATATTAACACTTGCATCCCACTTATTTCTGAGAAATGCAGAGTATTTTTAGAACTTGGAATTTTTCCCCCCCAATAATCAAATATGTCTTTGTTAGGAGAAGAAAGGCATCATTCTGTCCGTTTTGCAGGTGAGAAGTCATGCAGAGAATATCAGCAAAGGCTCATGCTCAGACTTTAAGCAAAAGACATTCTGTCACCATCCTTGAAAAAAATTTCAAAAACTGATGCCTTCCAGCATTGAAAAATGGAATTCCTTGGGACCAACTGATGGAATAATGATTACATAGCTGGACTCCCATGTACTTGACTGGGGTTTGACCCAGTGGCTTAAAATTCACACCAGGTATGTGTGTGTGTGTGTGTGTGTGTGTTTGTATGTGTGTGTGTATGCCCAAGATCCCAAGAGGTGAATGGAGGAGAAGGGATTGCGACATGGCCATCCCCCTGGGGGTGATTTCTTGCTGTCTGTCTCTTTGGTGAGCACACACACTCTATCGCAAAAATTTCTCTTAGAAAAAAAAAAATGGCATTGCTTTTGCAGTTCAGGAAGAATTGTACATTTAAACCTATTTCTTTAAAGGCAGGATTAACTAAACATACAGAAAAAGTTAAAATACTGCATTAAATTTGATCCAGCAATCCTACTTCTTAGAATTTAACATAAGAACCCTCAGAGAAGGAGAATACATTTGCAAACTATGCCTCAGATAAGGGACTGATAGCTAGAATATACAGAGAACTCAAGCAGCTTACCTGCAAAATAAATAAATAAATAAATAAATAAATAAATAATAAAATATTAATTCAATTAAAATGGGCAAATGAACTGAACAGACAGCTCTCTAAAGAAGACATATGAATAGTCAAAAATCATGTGAAAACATGCTCAGCATCTCTTGTCATAAGGGAAATGCAAATCAAAACCACAATGAGATACCATTTAACCTGTCAGTATGGTTAAAATAAAAAAACAAACAATCAAAAAAAAACAAACAAAGAATGATAAGTGCTGACGAGGCTGTCATGAAAAGGGAATCCTACACTGTTGGTGAGAGTGTAAATTAGTACAGCCACTGTGGAGAACAATATGGAGGTTCCTTGGAAACCTACAAATAGAACTACCATACCACTCAGTAATTTTACTCTTAGATATCTATCCAGAGGATAGGAAAATCTTCAGTCATAAGAAAACATTTGTATAGCCATGATTATTGCAGCTTTATTTATAATTGCTAGGATGTGGAATCAACCCAAATGTTCAAGAACATACAAGTGGATTGAAAAAAGATGGGACATGTACTCTCTGGAATACTATTCAGCCATAAAAAGCAATGAGACTCTGACATTTGATAGAAAGTAGAGGAATGTGAGAGATTTAATGCTAAGTGAAGCAAGACACACTATGAAAGATAGATACTGTATGTCCCTGCTCAATATATACAAATGTGCTCTATAGTGGAAACAGAAAAATTGGAAGGTTTAATCACAGGGAGGGCAATGGTAGATATTAGAGACAGTGTTTGTGGGGAAGTAATGGGGGTAGGTAACAGGGTAACAGGAGGTGGGAGGGAGAGGACTGGGGAAGAACAAAACAACAGATAAAAATGAAAAGTTTTCTGTTGATGGTAATGTATATGGTACCATCTTTGACTTGACTAATAGGCACTGTATTCAGGCTGCGAAAAACCATGTTGTACAATGTAAAAATGTACAGTGAATAAATCAAAGTCAAAAAGAAAAAAAAATCTAAAAAAGAATTTAACATAAGAAAATAATTTTGAAATTAGAAAAGATAGACCCTAAGGATGTTCATTACAGTGATTTCGTAATAATAAAACTTGAAAAGAACTGACATAGTTAGCAATATAGAATTTGTTACGTAAATAGTGTGAGAGATCACTACGAATTGTAGAAAAGTACCTAGGAATAGTGTAAGAATAGTTCAATGTCTACTTGGAATGGCAGTGAAGAGGCTAACAGAGAAGGAAGGAAGTCAAAAGCAACCATAAAGAATACTGAAGTATACCTCCAGGAGACACCCAGTCATCCGGGATATTGATCACCTTCGTCTTAGAGGTGGAGAATAAGGATCTGAGACTAAGCTTTCAACTTCATTGTAATATGGGGTGACTGATTAGCTCTGATGGTGGGCAGGGGGAAAAAAAAAGGAAAGTTTTACTGGAGACTGTACATTCCTTTCTGTCCGAGAAGTGAGCCAGACACAGGTCCCTCATCTTTCCTCCTCAAGGAAGCCCAAGGGCACAGGCTTCCTCCTCCTCCTGCCAGGTGGTGGGTTAACAATCAGCATCCACTGACCGTGCCTAGTTGCATGTCCTCTGCAAACTAGTTAATTTCATCCCGGTAACCACAGTGGACCATAATATTAAGGGGTGTGTATATACTTGTGTGTGCCTAGGTGCATGTGTGTGAGAGCCATGAGGCTGGTTTCAAAAAACGACTTAACACATCATATTCCTAGGTTAGCTCTAGGAATCTGGTAGGGTGATAGAAGCTATTTTGTTTTCTTCAGAGTGCTTATGTCTATTTTCAAAAATTTCACACTGAATATGAAATACTTGAAAGGAGAAAAAAAGAATAATAACGTTCATTATAAAACAGTGACATTTCTAGTCAGTAATCTGACTTAGTTCTCCCTCACAGAACACATTCTGCTCATTTTCTAGTTAAGCATTCCTCTGTTCCTCCACACTTGAGCTTCAGAGGGTCTTAGGCAAGAAATACACTTAGGGTTCTCAGGTAACCTGTATTCTATGCATCCAAACGAAGGAATTGTAAAACGGCATGATTCTTTGAATCTCACCAGATTGTTAGCCTCATATGTCTTTCTTTTAAGTCTTGGATATGAGAACTTGAACTAAATCCTATTTGAAGAGCAGTGTCTTCAAAGTCGGAGGCAGAGCACTGTCTGTTTTTATAGGGCATGGAACTAGAAGAGCACACATCAAAGAGCTCTCCCTGGCGCAGGCAAAGGTCTGATTCTGCATTTAAGCATCTAAGCCCTAACGAGTTAGCCCCTGGGCCCCTTCAGAGTGGAACTCTGGTCCCACGTACCTGCCTCGTCCGCGGTGATGGTGAGCTCGTTGCTGGGCTCGCTCTTGCCAATCCGGTTCTTGGCGTACATGCGGATGCTGTAGGTGGAGGAAGGGTGGATATCAATGATGGTGGCCGAGTTCAGCTGAGGGGAAACATCTTTGGTTCTCTGAGCAGAATCCCAGGAGTCTTTTGGGTTTTGTTTTTCAAAAAAGAAGAGATAAAGATGTGAGTTTTTTCCCTCTGCCTTTGAAAGTTCACAAATAGGAATTAAAAACAAACAAACAAACAAAAAACAAAAACGAACAAACAAAAACAAAAAGGAAGGAAGAAAAGGAAAATTACACCCAAGGTGAATTGTCAATGCATGGTACGCGGTTTTCTGGCCACGTTGGCCATCAGAGTAAACGTGACTTTCCACAGTCCTTATTCAGACAAAGGGCACCAGTGAGCTGAGTGCAGGGAGAGCAAGCACAGAATGCATGGCCAGGGAGTTCACAGAGGAGAAATACAGGTGGTGGGTGCTCATGTCACTGGAGAGAAAAATGGCTACTTGTAAACACTCATCGTATAGGACAAGAAAATGAACTATGGTTTCTATACCCCAAAGTATCTTTGGCTCTAAAAAATATTTGAAACCAGCAAAACCTCTAGCTATTTTGAATCTTTTCATCATTAAATGGAAACTAGTAATTGTGTGATACTTCATAGAAATCAATCTCAGTTTCCAGCATAAACCATATTTCTGAGTTTCAGTTTTTGAAGTAATGTAATTTTGAATCCTGTGTTACAGGAATTCTTTTAAACCATGGCTATTTTTTTTTCCTTTTCAGCTTTTTTTTTCCTTCTTTTTGCTATCAGGAATGTGTACTCACTGAAGAGAGACAGAGAGAGAGAAAGAGAGGGAAAGTGAGAAATCACACACCCCCCCTGCCCCCGGCGAGATGGCCATGCCACAATCCTTTTCCTTCATTCTCCTCCCAGAATTTTGGGCAGACATATATATGCTACTAGAATGATTTTCAGGTTATAGGGCCTGGGACTTAAACAGTGGATTTGACCTTGTGGTATCCAGCCGCCCTAAGCTCCACACCACCTGCTGGCCCAACTGTGGCTAATTTTAACGATAGCACATGCCTATTAGGAAGAGTTATGAGCCTGTGATAATTTAGACTTGGTGACTATAGGGCTTTAAGCAAAGATAAGAATGTTAGTAGGTGGTTCTTAAATCAAAGATGTTTGGGAATTTGCTGACAAATGATAAAAAGTGAAGTCCCTCAGACAATGGGCAGAGATGATGTGAGATATCTTCACCTTCCCCAATGTCCTCTCCTCTGTGGGGCTTCTCACACTTTAGGTCTTTCATGAGTATTTTGTGTTCCTCACTGGATTCTAAGTTACAATGGGGTAGAGGTCATGCCTACTAAGTTTCATCTTGCACTCCTGGTGTTAGCACAGTGTCTGAATCACAACAGACAATAAATAACTGCATCTTTAGTAGATGAATAAGGAAATGGTGACTGCATGGACCTCTGGGTCTTGGGGTTGGTACTATTCATCTTATCCCACCAGCAATAAGTGTAGAAGTTTAGGGAACTGCTCCGTGCAAAAGTAAGCATAAATGCAAGATATTGTTGGAGTTGGAGTTGAAAAAAACATATGTGGCTTAAAGACTGCTTTGGAATATTCTAACACCTCAGAAAATGGAGCATAACAGAAAGTGACAATCAATATTGCAATTAGAAGAAAAAGCACCCAAAGAACATGACATCAGAAGTGAAAATGCACCCAAAAAATCAAGGGCTGAAAGTGAAGAATGTGAGTCAATAGAGGAAATGAGGTAGATTTTATATCAATGGAATGCCATGAATATGAACTGGTCCCACATAGACAATGTCATTCTTTCTGGAGAAGATGTTTAGGACAATAGGGAGGAACCCGGGCCCTGCAAGGTGCAGAGAAACTCACTAGCCCCAGAGAGAAGCAGACATATGTAATTGATGGCTCTGCCCACGGAACATGCAGGTTTCTGGAACTGTAAATGGCAGAGCCAATTAAAATACAGCCAACTTCATTGGAGGCTGTGTTTGGGGATGGCTGAAAGGCTGAAGAGGTATATCAATGTCTACTAGCCACTTTCTTTCCCCACCAATACAAGTCAGAGAGTGGCCAAGGCGGGAAGATTTGGGTTAAAAGAAACAAACAAAGATGATGTCAATGATTGTCAGAATATAGTTCAAAACACCATGTAGTGAGTTTTTAGCTAAAGGTCATGTGTTTTCCTGAAGGAATTTAAGGTAACTGAATGTAAAAGAAGAAACACATCTAGGTAAACCCACAAACACACTCTGGCAGATGATGTGATGTGAAAGAAGGAATGAAAAGAGGGAGGTGGTTGCTCAGAAGACAAGAATCTACAAAGGGATGGAAAGTACTATTTCTGCTCAGACACTGATGTGCAAACAGGCAGGTTGCTGATTACAAACACAATGTGATATTGTGAGAATATGATACCAGGTGCTAAAAGCAACCCATACATGGGTTCAGAGACTTGGGAGGATGAAATTGCACATTGAAACACAGATATAACTAGGAAAAAGGTACCACAGACAAAATAAACTCTTAGGAGTAAATCACCTGTAGAAATGTGTACATATAAATCTAAGGCACTGAAGATGCAAACTTGAATGGGGATGTTTGGGTAAGGCCATACATGGGAAGGGTGAAGGATGAAATGGCTGTGGGAATTTATACCGGATTCTCTGGTCCAGAAGAAAAATGAGGTGGTTGTTCTGAGAAGCAGAGAGCAAAAGCAGCACCAGAAGGGCTTATAATTCCCATCAGAGGATTATTTAACAAAGGAACTATTTGCTAAGGTGTGGGCTGGGTTGGAGAACCCTACGAAGGATGGCCGCTAAGGCTCCCAGTGACCAACCCAATGGGGAGCTGTTCCCTCCCAGTCAGGAGGGCCAGAGGATTAGGACAGTGCTGCTGGAGTCCACACGGGACTGAAACCTAGAGATGGGTCCCCAGCAGAAGCTGTGCACATGGAACCCCACCTTTTCCAGGAGCATAGATTGAATCCTCAAAAATTCATTTCCCATGTGTGCTATTGGGCAATCCAATCAGAAGTAAGAGGGAAGAGTCCTGGAAGAGATATCATTTGCTGGAAGGATTTAGGTGATGTAAGAGGTCTTTTGGATTCAGAAAGGCCTATTTTGTTGCTACAAATATAAGAACTTGTAACAATTGCAGCTGGTCAGAGGCAGAACCAAGATTTTGGGGGCTAGAGGGCAGCTGTTTCTGAGATTATACAAGCCTATACTGAATAATCACTTCACCTGCTTTGTTAAGAAAGGGAATTTTTTAAAGTTTTTTTGCCTAGGGTGTGTGTGCTTGTTGGAGAGAGCTAGAGAGAGAGAGACTGTGAGAGGGTAAGTAAGAAAGCATTCCCCATGGGGGAAGACCATGCTGCAATTCCTTCTACATTTCCTTCCTGGGATTTAGGACACACATGCACACCTTAATCACCATGCCACCTGCTGGCTACAGAATATGAAGTATTTTAATGCATTGATAATTCATTGTTTTCAGAGCAAATTAACAAAAAGTGGAGGAAAGCATTTAGAAAGTTAGGAGGAAGATTCCATCACTCCTAGAGCAGGGTTTGAGTGTCAAGAAATCGATCAATGCTTATTTCAAGTTTAATATGTGTGCCAGGCACTCTTTGGGTGAAGGGACATAGTGCAGAGCTTGTTAGATAGTTCCTGTACTCAGGGGGTCACTCAGAACCTCAGGGGGAGAAGTGCCCAGTAAGTAGGGCAGATATTAAGAAAATGGCCACCAAGTGTTCCAAGGTATTCAGGATGCTACTAGGAGAGAAAGGGAAGGAGTGGTCAGGGAAGGCTTCCTGGAGGAAGAGACATTTACACTGTGACTTGAAGGATTCATTTTCTATGTATTCAGTCTACAAATTGCATTAATTTAAATTGTGGTTCTAAGATTTGTGCACCAGAAACTTGTTGAGGAAGCATGTAATCCATGAAGTCACTGGCAACACACCCCTCACAGCAGTAAGTACGTTTGCTACCTACTGGCAGCACAGCTCCTTCTTCCAAGGCCTTCCACACTGAAAGTGATAGAGATCCTGGAGTGGTCCTGATGGAAACCCAGTTTGTGGGGTTGGACCTGCCTTCCCTGAAGGCTTTTTCCCAGTGATTCTCCTGGAACTCTTGGACCCTCAGACTGCCTTGCTCTATAGTTACACGAATAACCTAGCCTCACACACTGTGAGCCTCCTCTCTGGTTGGAGTAGAGCATGAAGGACAGAAAGGAGACCCCTCCAACCTGACTGTCCCTGCTTTATAGATGAGGAGCTTCCTACTTTGGTTATGCAGAGGTGCACTGTATACATTTAAAGACAATATTGGTAGTAGAGGTAAATTCTAGATCGAGCTGCATATAAATTGAGTGCAATGAATATTTACTGCACACTCTACATGCTAGCCAGTATATTAGGAAATAGGGAACATTGGAATCCCTGCCTTTGGGAACCTTGGAGAGGGGAGAACCCCTGAGGATTCTTTAGTGGTGGACAAGCACTTTAATGAACACAGATGGCTTTAGAGACATATTACTTGCAAGCATTTCCATGCATGCGTGAGCAATTCTAAAAGCTACCACTTACTGGATGTGGACTATGTGCCAGACAGTGATTCAAGTATCTTAAATGTATCCCCTTGTAAAGGAGCGTTCACCAACAGACAATGCAGTTACTCAGGTGTGGCAGTGGGTGTTAGAGAAATGGCGTGGATGAAAACAGACCTACTAGACATGGGAGCTCCAAGATGCTTCTACTCTATTGGAGGTGAAATGCATAATACATGAATGAATAGTCACATGGGACACCATGACACTTGCTGGAGATAAAGGGATGAGAATATGGAGAGTGGAATCTTAGTGGGTGGGAGACTCTGTAGTCCAGGCAAGAGTGATCTTCCGGTCACAGGGCAGCCTATGACCTCAGAGAGCTCCTTCTCATAGTCATTTGAGGTGAGCACAGAGATGTCCCCCTCCCAGAAGAGAACAACAGAAAGGAGGCAAGCAAGTGATAGGACCAGCAGCTGAGACCGGGGGCCCCAGTGGGTCCAGCACAGTCTGAATCCCAAACCCCCTGAGCTGTCAATTGTCACCAGTGACTAGCAAAGACTGATCCTCCCTGAAGATGAAGAGTGGAGCCATCCCCTCTGAGAGGCTGCCTGTTGTTCCAGCGCTTAGCCAATGAGACTGGCGGGCTATCCCTGCCATGTCGGGTTTTGTCTGCTTCCAGGATGCTCATCTGTGGTTCTCCAGAACTCTCATTGCTACCACTGGTGTCCAGCCCAGCCTCAGCTTGAATATACCTGCCTCACATAGAAAAGGTTTCTTTGCCTCAAGATCTGTTTTTCAGACTTGTAATTCTTGGGCCTTCTCCTGACCTATAGCTTTAGAGCAAGTGCAAGGTTATCCTCTTCTACCATTGGTCCCTGGGAAGCCTGTTTGTCCTAGTCCCAGAAGGACCAGCTGTTTGGGTCAGTGCTGTCTTGGGTGAGCTAAGGTCACTGTGCCCCAAGCCCTGGAGGCTGAATCTCCGTGTTTCCCGTGAATGTAGCCTGGAGCAACACTGCCCCGCTTAGGCCATGCCTTTGTGTTTCCTTGCTTCTGGGTCTCCAGCTGCAACTCCAAAGTGACTGAGCTGAGCCATCCCATCTTAAGTTCATTTCCAATGTAACAAGCCTCAGATGCTAGAGCTCAGAGCACTTCTTTTGAGTTAATAAATCCCTTTAGTCTTCAACTTCCACTTTCCCAAATTCTTTCATAGTTACCTACTGGTGTTTCTTTGCAGCCCACCTTACACCATTCTGTGGTCTGTCCCTGGATGCTCTTTACTGAAATCTTTCCTTATCTTGCCCTGACTTTCCAGCTGCCTTGAGCTTGATTCTTGTCCTTGAGCTTCAGCTCAAAATGACACTAAATCAGTTACAATAATGTGACATGAAGTAATGTATTGTGCTCATAAATATGGTAACAAATAAGACTGCGCCAAGAATTGTATTAACCCTTCCCATGCCGATGGTCTTCTAAGTCCTCATATCTTTAATGAGACACAGCAAAGATTCTGACTAGAAGCCCCAAAGTAGTATTCTACCCTTGTAGAAAGTGTCTCTGAAGTGTCACCTGAAGAGGACCCCTGGGCACACCTGTGGTGGTCCTGACAGCTGGGCCAGTTTTACTGATAGATTGTGCTGACTGATTCAGGGTGCCACAGTGAGTGTCCCTGGCCTGTCCCTGAGGCATTCCTAGGAGGCTGCTGCAGGAGTGCTCATCTCAGCAGATGCGGCTGCTCTCCTTTCCTTTCACAGCTCATCCTACAGACCTGAAGCACATCAGGGCCTCAGTACCCTGGATATGGGACATGGGAGAAACACACGCTCAAAAGTATTGCCTGACTGGGGAAATGGGAAGGGAACAGATGAGAAAGGAGAAGTCACTCTGGGGCCTGACTCTCAGTAGCTTCCAAATGCTTATGGGTGGCAAGAAGGCCTGAGGCCAGCAAAAAGCAGGACAAGTCCAGACTGGCAGGGGCAGAGCTGAGTCTCCACACACAACTCCACTCCTTGGGTGGGCTGGGTATAAGAAGCTTGCACCCTCTGAGCTTCCAGGAGTCAGGTATGTGCTTAGGGGTACAACAAACAGAAAAAAGAGAAAATGGAAAGGCTTTGTGAAGTAGAAAAGAAGCTGGAGAAAATAAAGGACTTACCTGATTTGTTTTTGCATTCAATATCATAGCCCGTGATGGGACTGTTGCCATCAAACCCCATGGTCCACCTGAGCGTGATTGTGCGTGCTTTGACATCTTTGATCTCAATTTCAGGAGGGTCTGGGGGCTCTGTGCCATCAACAGAAAGACCCAGGATTAGTTCAGAAAGAGTTCAGATGTAAAAATGCTAGTGGACATGCTGAGGACAACTCACAGTGATTCGTCAGCATTCAATGACAGACACTTTTTATTTGGAAGTTGTTACTCTTTTTTTTTTTTTTTTTTCCATAATCACATTTTGGGGAGGAGAAATTTCACTTTTCCAAGATTTTCAGTTTTCACAGCATTAGCAGACTGGGCCAAACTTGGAGGATATAAGTATTCCTCTTCTAGTTTAGATTTTTAACTCAAAACATATGTTGGCCCCACATGATAAACTTCTCCCCTCATGCTGACTGCCAAGCATATGGGATCCTAAAATTGAGCAGAGAAATCACATCACTGTATTCTTTTCTTTGAGCTGACTGTCACTGACTTCTCATCTGACTTAATTCCTTTAAGGGCTTTGGTTCCTCTGATGTGGGGTAGCTCTTAAACATAATTGCACATACTGCAAAACACTGTTTTAGTACTTTTAAGAATGAGGAAGTATGACATAGCAAGCCTAGGCCACGTAGACACCTGAGGTTGGGTATGTGCTTTTCATCCTGAAAAGGCTAGGGTTTTTATGTTTTTTTTTTTTCCTTATATGTCATCTTCCTACCTTGCACTGTGAGCTGAATTATCCCACGGTCCTCCCCATAAGAATTGATAGCATGGCAGGAGAAGAAGCCAGAATCTTCTCTCACAGTGGGCAAAATCTATGTGTAAAGCAGAAAGAAATTAATTTTATTCAGTAGTGTGAAGCAAAAGAATAACTGACGTGGCTTTTGGCTATAAAACTCTCTCTGCATTCTTTCATCCTTCCTTCGGTCCCCAGTACATTTATATAGGTACTCACACACGCACACACACATGCACTCATCCACACCGATACACACTGACATGCATATACATACACATAAGCACATACCCCTCTTGGGGAAAGGTGATTTCAGTGTAACTGTAAATGTGTAGATGGACAGGTTTGACAGGCATTACCCATGCCAGCTGCCAGCTTGTTATATTGGACGTGTAATTTATTCGGGATGTCTGGCGCCTCGACCACCACGCCCCCTTATAGTCAGGCTGACCTGTAGTTCACATGCACATTTTCCCCTCTGTGTGTGATTTAGAGCATTCAGAGCAACTACGCCTAAAGAAGCAGATCTACAGATGCTGTGCTCAGGGCCTGGCCAGCATGACCTTCACCAGAATTCTGCTCTGGGAGGACTGCAGGATTGTGAGGAGGCCAGTGTAAGTGTTTAAACATAAGGCTTTTCCCCCAGCATCATTGCCCACTCCCCCACCTCCTACCATAATAAAAGCATTACTCAGTTAACTACTAATGCATGGTAAGTGTCCCATATCTGAAATGCTTGGGATCAGAGTATTTCAGATTTAATTTTTTTTATTTTGGAATATTTTCATTCATATAATAAGGTATCTTGAGGATGAGACCCATGTTTAAACATGAAATTCATTTATGTTAAATATACACCTTATATACATAACCTGAAGGTGGTTTTGCCCAATTTCTTTTTTTATATTGTGGCATTTTGACTGCAACCTGTCACATTTGGTCAGGTGTAGGATGATGTTGACACTCAAAAAGTTTTAGATTTTGGAGCATTGTGGATTTTCAGGTTAGAAAAAAAATGAGTATGCAATACATTTTTCCCCAGTTTTTGTGATCCTATATTGACAGAATTTTTTTTACATTGGAATTTTGCACAGATGCAGATCATTTTACCCACACACATATGTGTGTGTGTGTGTATATATATATATATATATATATATATTGTGTGTATATATGTGTGTATATACATATATAGTGTGTATATACACACTATATATATTTGTATATATATGTGTGTATGTGTGTGTGTGTGTGTGTATATTTGGTTCTAAAACCCATCCCATTTTTCTTTGTATAGGAAGTTAAAGCATGCATACAGCATAAGCTGCCATTCCTCCAGGATTAACTGTCATTAATAAAGCCTATTTATCACTTATATTTTAAAACTGCAGTATTCATAATAATTCTCTTCTTAATAACACTTCAAGGCTACTCGGTCATCTCGCTGAATGAAGAGGAAGAGAAACAGTGCCTCACAAATAAATTCCAAAAGATTATTTGCTGCTTATCACCCATATGAATCCACTTGTGAAAGGACATAATTATTACCTCAATAAAGTTAGGTTCTATTTTGTTATATTTGCCATGCTTTTACCTGCAGAGTGGAAATCACCTCCTCTCCCACCTCCTTGGTGGACACGAGATAGCGGGCCATTTCAGGGTTAATGATTCGATCCTCTTTCTCCCAGCGGACAATAATGGGCTTCTCACCATGGGCTGTGCAACTCATCTCCTTCTTTTGCCCCTGAGTAGCCAGGGTAGTATTTGGGTAGGATGTTATCATGGCAGGAACTGAAAAACCAAAAGAGACGTGATCAGCTGAATGGGGGTCCTGATTTTCCCTACCTTAGCTCTCAGCTACATCATGCCTAAACAGACGTTTCTTTGAAATAAAGTTTGTTCAGAAAGCTACTAAGCAAGAATAAAGAATAGAATATATCGAAGATTGCAGAACAATGAAACTTGACTAAATGAGGTATAGGCCAAAATCGTCATGAGGTTTCATACACATGGGGATGTTGTTCTCTTCTGCTTCTGCCAAAGGCAGATATAGGTCAGGATCCATGGATATGTCCCTTAGAATTATTTAATTTAATTGAATTTGACTTAATTATTATTTAATTTGACCTGAGAGAGACACACAGAGAAAAAGAAAGAAAGTGAGAGAGCAAGCTTCCAGATCCGGGACTTGAAATTGCAGTCAGCCATGTGGGAGTCCAACACCTTAACTACTACACCACCTGCCAACCCAGCTCTGTCCCTTAGAACACATAGAGTAGTGGTTTTATTCCTTGTTAATCTGCAAAGAAGAATTCACATTAAGAATTATACCCCCCCTGTTATTATCTACATTTATCCATTTTCTTTCTTTAAAGTTCCACAGTTTTTTAAAAGTCTGTTTCATATATTCTTTAAAAGTCTGTTTCACACACAGATTTCTTGTGAGGACATGGTAAGTGTGATTCCTTCCCAAGTCCAGGGTATTGTAACACTCTCACTTCTTTATATTTCACGGAGAGTGATCTGACTGTGAAATAAGGGCTTCTGCCTGGCCTCGAGGGCTGCTGTGCAAGGAGCAAAGCTTCGTGCAGGCTGCGGTTTCCCCAGAATATAATTTTGTAGTACTCTAAAACAGCCAACAGGAAGAATTACTCTTCAAAAACTGAAGCATTGCTTTGAAAAATTGAATTATACCTTTTCCTTTTCCTTCTTTTCTTCTTCTTTTCTTTCTTTCTTTTTATTTTAAAATTATGAGCTTTTTTTGCATTCTATTATGGGAGAAATACCTCAATTAAATCAGCGATCTCTGAGTTGTTCATGAGTTTTTCATCTAATTCTGTAAAAACTGCTCCTCAATTTTACTCACACTTTTTTTCTTTGGAAGAATGCCCTGCCAAAATAGATATTTCAGTTGGGTTAATAAATTCAGCGTTTAGTAAGAAATATTCAGACTAGTCCATGTTTTCCTATCCATTCAAGTATTTTTAGGGAAAG